GTATATATGTGTGTGTATATATATATATATATGTGTGTGTGTGTATATATGTGTGTATATATATATATATATGTGTGTGTGTGTATATATATATGTGTGTGTATATATATATATATATATGTGTGTGTGTGTGTGTATATGTGTGTGTATATATATATATATATGTGTGTGTGTGTGTGTATATATGTGTGTATATATATATATATATGTGTGTGTGTGTGTGTATATATGTGTGTGTATATATATATATGTGTGTGTGTGTGTGTATATATGTGTGTGTATATATATATATATATATATGTGTGTGTGTGTGTGTATATATGTGTGTATATATATATATATGTGTGTGTGTGTATATATGTGTGTATATATATATATATGTGTGTGTGTGTGTGTATATATGTGTGTATATATATATATATATGTGTGTGTGTGTGTGTGTATATATGTGTATATATATATATATATATATATGTGTGTGTGTGTATATATGTGTGTATATATATATATATATATATATATGTGTGTGTGTGTGTATATATGTGTGTATATATATATATATATATATGTGTGTGTGTGTATATATATATATATATAATGTGGTTGTGTGTAAATATGTATATGTGTATTTGTAAATTTAGATAGGTGTGTGTGTATGTATATATATATATATATATATATATATATATATATATATATATATATATATGTGATATGTATGAATATATGTGTAGGATATAGTTGTATGCATATATATGTATACATTGGTGTATATAGTTCTAATGGAAGGACAGAATTTTTTTTATTACCTTTTAATCTTACTTTCTCTTTAAATAATTTTAATTAGACTTGAAAGATTGAAAATTTTACTCATCTGGAGATAATCTCAATTTAAATTGATCACTTAGATTTAAATTAAAAAATGTTACTCCTTAACCATTATTCATGATGTTAAAAAGATTAAAATTAAAAATATTTTTTGAAATTTAAACACTTAATTCACCATCTGATAATAACTATAAAATTTAAGAAAAAAATTAAATATGTATAAAGAAGGATGTGGAAATATGTAAATGTATATGTAAGTATATGTATATGCATAATTGTACATATATATGGATGTATGTGTATGTGTTCTTATGTAATATATGTATGGGTTGTAAAACAGTAAAATTTTTTTTTACTATTACCTTCAAATCTTACTCCATCTTGATTTGAAACCTTAACTTTAATTAAGAAATATTACCCATCTAAAAATAGCTACAAATTAAATTCATGAATTTGACTCTGATAAAGGTTTTACCTTAAGTCATTCACAATATTAGAATAATACTATTAGTAAATTTTCATTTTTTTTTTTTTATTATTATTGTTTATTAATATAGTATTCAGCTTATATTAAATCCCTAATTTATTTGTGGATAAGTTGAATATTTAAATTCCTAACAAGCATTAAATTTAATTGTGGAATCTTTAAACATTTAAATTACTGTCAAACATTAAAATCTGTTTTTATCTAAATTGCTAAAGTTATACCATCCCTCTCCTTCCTCCAAAAACCCTATGTACATCTCTTATCTCTTTACTCCCCCCCCTCTTTTTCTTTTTCTCTTTTTTTCCTTTTCCCATTTCATTTCTGTTGAGTTGACGGATTAAATAGGTCAATGTCTGATTCTTACCCCCTCCTATTAAGTATTATAATAAAAAGAAATATAAGAATAGATTTTAAAACTTTCCCTTCCTTCTCACACTATTCCTCACCACCTATGTCAAATTATATAAGCTTAATACTGCCGGTCAAAAACAAATTTTAAATTCATTTTTCGGTTCACCTTTTAAAAGTGAAGTCTGAAGATCCAGAGAAAAATAAAATTCTCTGTTGAAATAAATTATTACAAATGGAGTCTTAAACTGGTCTGTTTTTCTTTAAATTAAATTATTCACTCTGACTTAACATTGAGCTCTCAGGATTTCATCCTCCTTTGGATTATCCATATGGATAGCCAAGATTTTCGTTACTTAACTAATATATATATATATATATATATATATATATATATATGTGTGTGACCAATGGCACTTATAAAACTTGAAACATCAACTGAACCAATATTTACACATTTGGGAATAGTTTAATTTTTTATTTGATTACAAATTTAGCTCATTTTTAACCAATCTTTGTAGAATTTTTCAGATTTACTTTCTCCATTCCATTGTAATGCTACCCTTAAACTATCTTAATACTTTTACTTAAATCTCTCAACATTTTTTGTCCCAGTTTTCCCTTTGAGTTTCACAGCCTTTTTGAATTTTTTAATTTAATCTGAAATCACATGATAAATACTACACTCTGTCATAGCTTGTTACACTTTGCCCAAGGTTGTTAGATATGTATACACACTGAGCTTCTTAAGTCAATGTTTTCACAATAAAATTGGTATTAATCAACTGATTCTGTTAAAATTTTCAGGATATATTTATATGGCAAGTATACCTTGTAAATGTCAGTTCATATCTAAACTTATAATTTACAATAACTTATTTGGAGGTTTCAGGTTTTGTTTAGCATAGATTCTTATTCATGAATAAATCCAAAAGATACCATAAAAACATATTGTGATTAACACAGTATATCATATACCTGAAGGAATTCAGGACTTGGGCAATTATGGCTCTCTACAACTTCCTATCCTTAATAGCTCTTAGCAATGTTTGCCTTTTTACTATCTCCTTTCCTTTTTCTTACATCCATGTACACAAGCTCGTTAGGTAGGTTTCCTCTGTCCCTCTTGTCTGTAAGTGTCTAATTTTCTAGATCTTCTTTTCTCATTATGTGTCTCAGAAATTTTAATTCTCTCTTCATGATTGTAAGTGTCCTTTTTGTTTTGATTTTCCTTAAAACTTCCTTGTTGCTTACATGATTTAGCCATAGTATTCTCAGCATCACTCTGTTGGACCACATCTCCATTGCCTCAAGTCTTCTTTTCATTTGTGATAAATTGTATTCGCTGTCATATGGGAGGATTGATATTGCATAACAGTTCAGGATGGTTTTCTTTATTTCTAATGAAATTTCCCTGTTTTTTAATACTTCTAGTTTTTGTAAAGCTTATTTTGCTATTTCAATGTCCTTTGGATTATGATGTCACATTTTCTGACATCTGTTAAATCACTTCCCATTTATACTTGTTTGATTTTGACATCTCTCATTCTTGGCTCACATCTTTCTTTTTTTTTTTTTTCTCTTGCTAACAATATATTCTATCTTCTTGCAAGTAATGGTTAGTTCTTTCTTTCCACTTTCCTTTACTACCATGTCATATATATATATATATATATATATATATATATATATATATATATATATATATATATATATAATATTCATATACATCTCTTAATGATGGACAAGTTTTTTACTAGATTAATGTCTGGAAAAGTCAAAGCCATTCCATTAAATGTTTTTGAAACCATTTTTTTTTTTTTTTTTTTTTTTTTTTTTAGAAAGGTGAGCAATAGTCAGCTTTGCTGAAGTAAAAGAACATTAGCTTGCATGAATATATGTTTTAGCTTAAAATTTCTTGATTGTGACCTGTACCACTCATGATTTTCTGCATTTATCTTGAAACTTTCATTAACTTTTATGGGACCTGTAATTTTACAGCCTACAATACTAGCTGAAGATGTTACTCCACCTCTTACCATTTTTTTCTAAATCATTTTGGTTGACTATTTCTATAAAGGATTCAACCTCAAGACCAGTCATCAGGTCCATCCAGTATAGCTTTACATTCATCACTAAAAATTAATATTGAGAAATCAGATTTCATGTGTTTCTTTGTCCAATTTGCATGTTTTTTTTTTTTGTTTTTTTTTTTTGTTTTTTGTGAAGTTTACTTGAAGATGGTAGTTAGGTTGATTTCTGTCTCTAGTGAAAGCTCTTAATATTTTGCATCTTTTATTTCTGATTATATTCACACTGCCCGATTTTTCAACTATTTTCTTGCTCATCAATTCACTCTTCTTGATTATAACCCTCATAACTTTTCTAAAATCTCTTTCAGGATTCCTTACCAATGTTTTCAATTTCTTTTTTTAGTGCGCTTTGATCTCTATTCAACCTTTTCACAATTTCCAATGTTACATCCCAATCACTCAATAATATTACAATATCTTAGGCTATAGCTTTCTTACGATCCGCAACAATTTTTATAAAAAAAAACAAGTATCAATAACTATTATATATATATTATTTATAATATGACAAGCAATCTTTAAGTTGCTTAATAAAATATCAAATAAGTTATTGTAATTATTTCTGACAAAAACAAATATGATATGGTAAAGTTAAGATGATATATTTTGAAATTTTTACCAACATCAATTAGTTAATACCAATTCTATTATGAAACTGCTAACTTGTCTAATAAAATCTGGCATTGTGTAGAAATACTTATCTCTGTCTGAATTTCTGTGATGAGTTTATTATTTACATTATTTACTTTTGGACTAATATCCCCATATTTGTTGATATGATTACAATGTTTCTTGAATTCACTGAAGGTTACCTGAAATGACAAAGATGAGTAAATTATTCTAACTGTAAATAATGTAAATACTTATCATGTCATCTGAAAGCAAAAATGAAATCATTTTTCATATGACTCGAAGAATAATTTATCAAAGTTTAAGTAAGATAAAATTGGATTCAAATTTGAATTGCCATAATGTTTTCTATAAAAGTTTGTCAAATTTATTCTTTAAAATGCTTCTTGAGGACAATGAGTTTGAATGTTTTCATTTTAAAGTTGACTTGATAATTTTTACTTGAATATCCAATCCCTTTGGGAATATGATCTTTCAAGACTTTTCTATTTTTTGTTCCATGTAACTTTTATTTTATTTTCACTTGAGGTATTTCTTCAGTTGTAATCAAGGTTTATGTATGTCTCAGTGGAATTATTATTGATAACTTTTTCTTATATACTTTATCATTTCAGTCTGAAAACCATGCAAGTAGTGTGGACGATACTGAAAGTCAGTATTCATCACAGTATGAAGAACGTCTCAATCCATTCAATACATTCAACCGTAAAGAGAGAATGAAACGCTACATGAATCTGAAGCCATATGACAAAATCACACTGAGCATGGGCCGTTTTATCATGGGCAACAAAGTGGCACGGACTGTTACTTTCTTTTACACCATTTTTCTTCATTGCTTTGTCTTCCTTGTTCTTTACAAATTAGCACACACAGAATCCTGCAAACGTGATATGGCTGCTGAGTGCCAGGAAAGGTTTGCTGCCCACATGATGAAATTTCACAAAGGACATGAATAAAGGTTAAACCTGGTAGAATCTTCTTTCGGTTTCCACTGATGCTCATTAACACTCAAAATATTCACATTCTTATTATGGCTATTGAAGACATTGTTTTCATTGGTTATATTGATTTGTTTTTTTATGAACAGTCATTAAGAGGGGAATTTTTTCATTAATATTAACTGTGGGTTTCTTAAATTGCTTTATATTTGGAAACTAACTTCCAGAAAACTGATGCTATTTCAACAGTTGGTCAATGTTCAAATGTTATAAAGATTTTTATATAACATTCTTGGGATTTTCAACATTGTATAAAACGTAATGTCTAATTACTTTGCAAATTAAAATTAATGAAGTTTCTAATAGTTTTTATGATAGATTCTGTTATTATATTTTTTTATGATAAATTCTGTTATTAGTTTCAGTCATCCTTATAGTTTTTAGGATAAATTCTATGTTATTGCTATGACTTATTGTTTTTATGTTCTTGTGTAAAGATACATTTAAACTTAAGTTTTGAATTGTGTAGTATTTGATAACTTTTAAGATAAAATATCAGAAGCTTCAAAATGTTAGACATTTTAAATAAATGTGAATATTGAATATCTTCTAAAACAAAAATTCTGACTTTTATGCATCTAAATGTTTCAGTTTTAGTAGTTACTATTATTTAGAAATTATTTATCACAATACTAAATATTTACCCAACTTTATACAAAAATACAATTGTTTCACAACTTGTTTTTTACAATGTATATCTTTACATTAGATATACTAAAAATGTCTATAAAACATCTATCAATCAGATTTTAATTTCTTGATTGATTGTAGATGTGATCTCATTCAGCCAGGCAATGGTTTATGCTCTAGTTCATAGATCAGGTAATATCATTTACTGCTTTCAAACTGGCTTGGGTTACTTAATTATAATTTAGATACAATCTTCAAATTTATCATCTACCAATTAATTTGGGGTTTGTTAACAAATTTGTGATATTTAGTTGTTGAAAAAATATTTTTTTTCACTTTTACCACATTTGGTTAAAATATAAAAAAACAACAAAACTGACATAATCTTTGAATAGCTTCTTAAAATTATTTTATTTGTGATGGAATCTAAATTTTATATTTGCTTTGTATGTTTTTATTGCTATAAGTTTATTTTATCGACACCCTGAAGACAAGACAATTACTTTTTTGTTGACTTTTCCCAAGTTCAAAGATGCACCATTCAGTAATTAGTAACATAACTATAATAATATTTAATAATTCATCTCTCTTCAAACTGATCTAAATAACCTCATATACTAAATTCACAAAAAGCACTTTCAACTTAGTACTGAAAAACAATTCTGTTTTGTTAAACTCTGAACAAAATTTCCATTTACTGAGTTCTATTCCCCAAGACATTGTAGTTTCCACCAGGATATAATTTTATACAAAAATCAACTAGGCATGAAATGGGACTAATTTTTTCTTCTGTGCACTTTTCTCTATTTTTTCTTTTGTTTTCTTGCAGAAACAAAAAATAGTCACTATTTTCTGCTTCTTAGCCTTTCATTTCTTTTCTACATTCCTTCATAACATCAATCATATCAGCCAAATTTTCTTTAAACCACTCTTTATTTTACTGTTTAATTGGTACATGTTCATACAAGTGCATTACTATTGTACTGTGTAATATCTTGGATACCTGGATCCTGTAATGACTCAGTTGACCAAATCCATGGCTAAGTCTGTTCAATTGTTTTAATAGCAACAATTGTAAAAAGTTTATTAGAACATCTTTAATTAAAAGAATTTTTACCAAAATTGAGACAAATGATATTTGTAAAACATCTCATTTTATGAAAGCCTACTAAATTTACATGTGAATAAAAATGAAATACAAATCAGCAATTTTCAAAGGAGAAAATCTTCTGTGAATACTGATTAAACATTTGTATGATATTGAATGATGATATTTTTATAACCACTTTTTGCATTGTATAACATTGTCACATCACTTTGTTTTCATGATAATGTATGTAACTAGATTTCCATCCATGTCTAAATAAATCTGTATAAATGTTGGCCTTTGTATCAGCTTTATTGTTAATATCACATATTGCCCTCATCTTTTGCTAGTTTGATTTTTGTTAAGAATTAAAACAAGTGCCATTTTGATGTTATTTTATATTAGATAAACATATTAAAATTATCTGAAGTTCCAAGCTGAACCATTTTTTATTGTTACACAAATTATTCAGGCAGGTTTCTTTTTTGTTGTTAGGATCACCAAGATAAGGATACTGTTCTGAATCATTCATGAAATACTAAAAATGATTTTTCCAAATGTTAACTTTTACTAATGTTTATTTTTTAAATTTATTTTTGAGCAAGATTTGCTATTTATTTCCTGTCTGTTATGACTTCAACTATCAATGCAATTGCTCAACAACCAATCATTAATAGTTTAAAATGTATCTCTGAGAAATTAAATACTCTTGATTACCAGCTGTGGTTGCCCATTTCTTTTTTTTTTTTTTTTTTTTTTTTTACATTCATTATAATATAGACAATTCTTTTTTTCCTAACTGGCAAACAATTAATGTATATTTGCAGAAGACCAGACTTGTTAATTTCATTTTTATACAAAAGATTATATTTTCAGTAAGAGCAATGTCATTAAAGTTGACCTTACTCACCTTTGCTTTCTACTGTTAAGTTTTATTTTTATATATTTTTATTTTATTTTATTTTTCAACCAGTTATGCAAGTTTTCAGTTATTTTGATAATTTGAAAAAGACTTCATTTTTATTTATTATTTTGTCAGATTCTTTCTTTAGAAATCTTTTCAATTGTTGAGAATTTTTTAACTATGAATTTCTGAATTATTTTTGTTTTGGTAGTTAGACTGTATTTGATTGAATATAAAACCCACTTGGGTTCCCAAATATTACAATTTCACAAATGTGTAATAAATAAATAAATGTGTACAAAATGTAACTTGTTTTGAATTGGGCCAAATAGGGAAGATGAATGAAGTTCCACTAACATTTGATGTATGTTCCAACAATTCTGTTTTTAATATTCCCTGTTAAAATTGTGGAGGCAGGGTGATATATGCCATCAAGTACATTATATTACAATTCTGTCATCTAATATTTTTCTTTGATACTGACAAAACATTTTGAATGCAATTTTATTAATACTCACAAATATTTTGTAAAATATTTGCAATTCTGAGTAAAGTTCATGGATTCCATTTTAATTTCATCAAATAATCTCTTTGCATCAAACATTTGGGTAATTCTATCTATATTTCTTATAGGTATTTAATAAAGATCATTTTTAATTTATATAAACCTGGGCACCTTAAAAATAATTGATTTACTTTGGCATATGTTATTTTTCTTCAATTTCAAAACCATTATTGCATGTAGATTTTAATTTTATGACACTGGAATACAAATGGGAATCTGTTAGAGCATATAAGTAAAAAATTAAAATAATCTAAAATCCTTACATATTGTTTGCATTTGTTTTTATAATGTATAAGTTACATGCATACATTTCTTATGTAATTTTATTTAAATTCTGATTAATGATGAGTTTATATTTGAATGAACTCATCATGAAGCCAAAATAATTATAAGTTGAAAATGACCATCACATCTGAGTTTCTTCTACAAGATAATGATTTTCCTGCTGTTCTTTTCACCACAGGCAGGAGATGTGCACTTGAATGTTCAGCAGACATAATAATGGGATAATTTGTCTTTTTGCATTTTCAGAATTCATTCAGTTTAGAAAAATTAGAATAAAGATTCTGTAAAAGAGTTGAGTATACGGAAAGAACCTTTGACGTTTGTCAACCTATTTTATACTCTAAAACATTTTTACTTTTAAAATTATTTTTTTTTTTATATATTAGACAATAATAACAATCAACAGTCCATTCATTATCATCAATATTCAAATGTTACTACCAAAACATTGTTTAAAAGCATTTTAGGGCAAAAGCTTTTGATGATAAAATACAAAGTGAATGGTTTTAAATAATAAATTTTAAATGGAAATTTAATTTATTTCAAATGGTTTTACATTTTTGTTTGGTAAAAAATGCCCTCGGATTACATACAAGCAAAGTTATGTTGAAAAAATATGATAATATTTTGAATATGACACTCCTATAAAATTTGTAATGTAAATATAAAAAAAAAAACATAGCTTGATGAAAAAATAATGAACCTTCCTAAATAATATTGAAAATTATGTTTTTTTTTTATTTTAAAAATTTTCCTTCTTTTAGAACATTTATCTAATTTTATTTAAAAAAACCTTTTTATTTATTTGTAAAGAAAATAATAATAATTTTTTAGCACGTTTTTGGTATGATTTTAATTTAAAAAATCAAAAATAAAATAATTTATTATAAATGTTTTTTTTTATGAAAGTTTTAACTATTTTTATGAAATAAAAATTTTTAGTTTTTTAATTTGAAAAATCATGTTTTTTTTGTTTTAATTGATACCTCCCAGTACCTGAAAATCAGCTTAATTATTTCAATAAACAAAGATATTTTACTTTTATTTTCTAATATGGACTTTTTTAAAAATTTTTCGTTTTTAAAAATTAAATTAATTATTAGATTTTTAAAATTATAAAATTAAAAAGTCAAGTATCAAAACTTTCATTTTTTATCATTTTGACTAATCAGAAGATCCCCAAATTAAAAAAATGTAATTTTGTGCTTATGAGCTGTAATTATAAAAATACGGAAGACCAACCAGAATATAATTAAGTTTTATTTTTGTTCTCCGCTGTTAAGGCCTTTACTTTTCTTCACGGTGGAGAAGTTTTTGATTTTCAATTTCAACTGAGAAGGGTACCTACAAGTATCAGTATCATTTATGAAATTTATATGATCTTATTTTTATTTCCCATAAATGAAATATTAATGCAAAATGAATGCAAATGTAATTATAGTATTTTATGTAATAATTCTGATAAAATCAAAGAAAGGTACCTATAA